ATGTGATTTGACCTCCACATCATACACGAGGCTGTCCCAAAGCCCATGAAATTCAGCTGTAAGGGAGAGTAAGACAAAAACCCCAATTTTAGGAAGACCTTGAGTCCAATGCTTTTCCAATGAAGATCAAGATGGATACAACAAGTGCTGGGATTAAGGGCGTGAGCCACCATGAATTGAATGCTGCAATTTATATTTCCTCTTAGACTTGCCCTTTAAACTATGTATTATTTAAAGTGTTTTAGACAAACAAACAAACAAAAAAAAAACACGAGCTCCCCCTACATGGCAGAAACCTAAAACTTTGGTGACTGAATTAATCCCTAGACACCACTTGTTGGAACCAGTAGCACAGTCCCCAGAGAAGCAAGGACTGTCATAGGAAGTCAGGGCTGACCAGCTGGGCAGGGACATCCTTAGTCAGACACAATCTGAGGACCTTGTCTAAAGGAACAACAAACAGTCTAGGCTCAGAAATGTGTTCCTTCCTTTGCAATCACCACCAGCCAAATCTGTAGTATTCCCTAAAGGCCCACACGCTAAGGCTTGATCACGATTTTTCTGTGAGGTAGTGGAGCTTTAAAAGATAGGGAGGGCGCAGAAGGAGGATAGTGGGACACAGGTCTCTTGCTCTCTCTCCTGCATCTGGCCATGAACAGAATAGGATTCCTCTACCACCCTCTCCTCCCCCAAACCATGCTCTGCCTTGCAAAAGGCACAGAGCAACGAAGCCACTCCTCCATGAACTGAAACTATGACCCCAAACAAACTCTTCTCCTTATGCAAATTGTCTCAAACATTTATTACAGTGATGGAGAGCTAACATAGTTTTACCTTTTCATACATCTCATAAGGCATAAAGCATCCTAAAATCTTACAAAACCAAAGAACCAAATCTTCTCACTAAGTAACTTGGCTAAGAGACCCAGGTGCGTCCTAAGCTTCTGACTCGGGCCTTCGTTGGCTGCCCCCCTCCGTCACTGCCCACCCGTCAGGACCCTGTACCTGCAGGCAGAACCCAGTTACTTGCTGCAATTATATTTTCTGTCTCTTCATCCAAATTTTCACTGGTGGGACCGTCTTCATTCAACTGGAAGACGTGGAGTGCGATGGTGCATGCGCTCAAATCAATGGGCTGTTGATGAGGTACAAAGAAACAACGCAACTCAGAACACCTCCTTCTCTACTGCCATGCTCTATGCTGAAGTCCAAAGTAAAGACAAAGGCTACCGCTGTTAAAAACCAGTTCTCAGGTAAGAGGAAGTCTAGCATTTCATTTCTGATCTAGGACTGGCTCTTAAGGTGTTTATCCATTTCTCCCCTTTGAACTCTTGACCCCCATTCCCCCCATCAAATCCCCTGAAACAGGGTTTCACAATGTAGGGCTATCTGTCTGGAAAGCCTTATAGATCCGGCTGAACTCACTGAGTGCTGAGATTAAAGGCTTTTAGACCTAGGCCTCATTTTTCAAAATCAATTTTCTATTATCTATTTATATATTAATTTTCTTTCTATAATACTAAAGGCTGAACTCAGGACCTTGTGCCAACTAGGCAAGAGCTTTACCACCAGCTTCATCCCAGCCCTCAAGATCAGTTCTTTATAAGCAAGAGTCATATAATGCTCATTGAGATGGAGAGCTTCCATAAGGCAGGCCCATCTCACTTCTGTAACTTCCACACAATCTACCGTGCCAACACACTCCTGAGCACACCACGACACCTGCTCATGGGCACAGAGAGGATTCAGGTATTCAGGCACAGTCCGATACTCTGTAGCTCTCAGATTCCTATTCTGTCTGTTCCTGGCTCTGTGCAAGCATTCTGACACATGGTATCCTTTCTAGCACCTAGTTCCAGGACACACAGCTAAGGCTTATCTAGCCATCAAAACCAACAGATTAAGAGCCTGCTATCAATGTCAATATTAGCTATTTGTGAGAATTACCTCATTTTCCCTAAGAGTTCAGTAACCAGGAGAATTTACCTGAGAGTCTTTGGCCTTTAATTCTGTGTCAACAATAGAAACAGACTGGACATTTCTGGTCAGAAAAGGTTCATCAAATTCAGTCCACGTGTAATCTCCAAACACAATACTATGCCTGTTGAGCAGTTTTTGAACACTTAGCTTTATGTCTTCTTTTTTTGCAGTACTAGAAAAATAAATACAGACATACATAAAATATCTTAGTTAAAAAAAAAAAAAAACAGCCGGGCGGTGGTGGCGCACACCTTTAATCCCAGCACTTGGGAGGCAGAGGCAGGCGGATCTCTGTGAGTTCGAGACCAGCCTCGTCTACAAGAGCTAGTTCCAGGACAGGCTCCAAAGCTACAGAGAAACCCTGTCTCGAAAAACCAAAAAAAAAAAAAAAAAAAAAAAAAAAAACCCTAAAGTATGGCCAGGAGCAGTGATGGCATGCCTGAAATCACAGCATGCAGGAGGCTGAGACAGGAGAACTTGTTTTAAATTTCGAAAAACAACCACACATACACAAAAATCTGCAGACTTCACACAAGTCACTATCCAAGATCAGGCTTGGGAGTGGACTTGTCTAGGGATCAACTATAGGGACCAGGGCCTGCAGTCACACCACCGACCACTCTCAGCACCATTAGAAAAAGAGGTGGCACTAGTTCTTGACATGCTACTATGAAGATTAATCAATATTCAGTGTTTGGGACAAGCCTGAAATACAAGGGGCACTCAATCCATGTTAGCAGCCACTGTTAAGGAAGGGATGAAAGACCACAGCTGTAGGGTCTAACTTCGAGTATGTACATTTTTTTTTTCCGAGACAGGATTTCTCTGTAGCTGTGGAGCTTGTCCTAGAACGAGCTCTTGTAGAGCAGGCTGGCCTGGAACTCACAGAGATCCGCCTGCCTCTGCCTCCAAGCGCTGGCATTAAAGGCGTGCACCACCACCGCCCAGCACGAGTTTGTACATCTTTGTAACAGGAAATCTACCACCAGATACAGGTTTAGTCAACTAAACACTTATTCTCCTCTTTGCTCCACTTACACTCCACTTTCCTGCACCCCTGACGTCTGGAGATCACCACCGCCCCCATCATCATCATTGTTAGACTGTGCTCCACTTGAGAGCGGTGAGGCCCTGCCAGATGAGGGATGGTGGGGTCTTGAGGGGATAGCGGTGAGTGAAACTCAGAGCAGTGTGTGGTGGGATGGAACCTCTTACAGGGCAAAGCGGGGTCATGCCATTTGGGGGTGCTATGCGGTGTGGGGGGTTAAAGCCAGGCTGCTCGTGTTATGTGAAGTGGGGCCGTGTTGAGGGCGTGCGACGCCGCGGGATGGGATCCTGAGAGGTGGGGTAGGGTAGTGCCGTCCTGAGGCACGCGTGGTGGGGCCCGGCTAGGACGTGCCCCGAGTGGTCGGCCTCCGCATAGCTCACCTACTGCGACGCTGCAGGATCTCCACGTGAACCGCGGGCGGCTCGACGACACAGGGAAGCGCTTGCTTCAGGTCGCCCACCGCCTCGTCCATGGCGCCGCCGCCGAGAGCCGAGGGAACGCGGCCCGAGTGACGCCCTGCGGAGCAGCCCCCTCAGCCGTGGGACTGTGCACCTTGGTTGAGCCCGGGTCTGAGCCACTTCCGTCGCCCGCGCCGCCCCGCCCCACCGCGCTTCGAATCTGCCGCGCGCTGAGCACCGCCCTGTGACCCGGAAGTGTTCAGCGGAGGCGAAGGGGCCACTTCCGACTGGCGCAGATCGGGCTACGGGCAGCCGCTCCTCGGCGGATCCGCTGCGACCGCAGCCATGGGCAAGAAGCACAAGAAGCACAAGGCGGAGTGGCGCTCGTCGTACGAAGGTGCGGAGCCCGAGGGCCGGGTCTGGGCTGCGGGAACCGGCGGGGACGGGGTTCCAAGGGAAGGGCGTGGTCTGCGCTGGGCGGGGCTGTAGAGGAGGGGCCTGAGGCGGGCGGGGTTCTGTGAGCGGGAGGGGCTTCAAGCCTGGTCGCGGACATTCGTGGGAGGGGGCGGGGGTTGTCCCGGTGGAGGGCATCAGCTGCGTTTCCTAGGTCACAGGGTGAGGCCATCGGCTTCTCGGGTCCTGTGGCCTCTCTGGTAGCGGGAAGACCCACAGCAAAAAGAGGGGCTTCCACAAAGGAACTGGGGTCTTGGGTCCTAAGTCGTGGTGATGCACTTTCTCCTGGTAGGAAGGATGTCCTGAATACTCTCAGTGGTGATTATGTGGTTTGAAAGGACCGAACACAGCCCTGTCAGTTTGAGAGTCCATCTTTTCCCATGGTTTTGACAACCCCCTGCCGCCTAGATTTATCAAGACCAGACTCTTACCCTTGTGACACCCACAGGGGCGCGGTAGTCCCACCTAGAATTTTGCAAGTTTCACTCACGATCTGTGTGCAGATTACACGGACACACCACTGGAGAAGCCTCTGAAGCTAGTGCTCAAGGTGGGAGGAAGCGAAGTGACGGAACTTTCAGGATCTGGCCACGACTCCAGCTACTATGATGATAGATCAGACCATGAGCGGGAGAGACACAAAGAAAAGAAGAAGAAAAAGAAGAAGAAGTCAGAGAAGGAAAAGCACCTCGACGAGGAGGAGAGAAGGAAGCGGAAGGTAAAGGTGCAATGGCCTGTGATGGGGACGCTGGTGATGCCTGGGCCAGTGCTGCAGTCCGAGTGTATTCTCTGTAGAAATGGGTCTTCTCCCCAGTCCGCAAAAGGCAGAGGTGCGCAGGGCCTCGAGTACCAATCTAAAAGAGCTCGTGCTGTTCTCTGGCCTCTGTTCTTTGCTACTCACAGGAAGAGAAAAAGCGGAAGCGGGAGAAGGAGCACTGCGACTCAGAGGGGGAGGCTGATGCTTTCGACCCTGGAAAGAAGGTGGAGGTGGAGCCACCCCCGGATCGACCAGTGAGAGCCTGCCGAACACAGCCAGGCAAGACCCTGCCCCTGGACATGTTTTATATCCTGTCCGTAGTATGGCTAGCCACTTGTTGGGGTATTTAATAACAGAAGCACAGATGTCATAGAGACCAATTGGATGTGTCCCACAAAACCTACAGTATTGTTTTTGTCTTTTTGAGACAGAGTTTCTTTATGTAGCCCTGACTGTCCTGAAACTTGCTCTGTAGACCAGGCTGGCCTCAAACTCAGAGATCCGCCTGCCTCTGCCTCCTGAGTGCTGGGATTTAAGGCGTGTGCCACCGTTACCCAGCTTACAATATTTTTTATCTGGTTTAAAGTTCACCAATTTTTAGTTTAGTAGTTTGGCTTTATTTGCTTTACTGTTCCAAACAGCACCATCAGTTTAGTGGCCCTTCATGAGTCACATAAGAAACACATGTAGAAACATGAGATTCTCCCAACACAGGCTCTCATGGTAGGTCTGGAGTTTACTTAAGGTGACCTCAAGATGACATGTAGGAAGCCAACAGATCTTTGGGAAACTTCTGACCCGGGCATCCTGTGCCAGGGATGACATTCTATGGCGTCTCAGTCCTAGGTTTTGGATTTCCCAGACTTCCTGTATAGGACTCCAGGAACTCTGTTTTCAGGTAAAAATGTCTCTTCCTTCATGGAGAGAAACTGAGGAGATTGGGTGTCAGAGCATGGTTATCAGGAAAGCTAATATTAAATCAGATTGTGATGGCTACAGAAGAAATGTTCATACCCCACAGTCTGTGTGGTGATTTTTCTCTTCAGAATTTCATCCTTTGACTATGGACTTGACGACCCCTGATTTATTGGGGCCCCTTGAGATATCTATTGTGATCCTTGTGGGAAAGAGTGCTATTTGCTAGTAACTCCCATCCCTGAGCAGAGCAGTTCACTCTCATAGTAAATTTCCAGGAAACAACAATCAGGGCCTGTCTTCAAAGTGGCACAGTGCAGTCATTGTGGCCTGTGAAGGGACTGAAGAGATTGCTGCTGCTTTGGACAGTCAGGAACGTTGCTGTCAGATTGACTGTGAGCTCAGAGACTTAGCTGATACCCACAGCCCTCATGAGGTCTGTATATTTTATGTCCCCCTGCTGTGCAGTGAGAACTAGGTACAGAGAAATGGCAAGAAGTCTCAAGTGCAGTACTGACCAGGGAGTCCAGAATGAGCTCTTCCCACACACTTGCCTCTTTTATATCTCGTCTAGAAGACCAGCTTGGATTGTGATGGGAACTGGAAATAGCCGTGTGGGTCTTGAGATGTGCTGTGTATCCCTTTGCCACCCTGCCTGTGTTGAGGGAGCTCTCAGTTCTTGCTTGGGCTTCAGATGCTGCGAAGGCCACAGGCAGATGATATGGAGATTTCTAGTGAAGGGAATGAGGTCTTGCTGTTTGATTTTATTTCCTTGCTTTCTCTTTATAAACTCAGCTGAGAATGAGAGCACACCCATCCAGAGGCTTCTGGAGCACTTCCTCCGTCAGCTGCAGAGGTAACCCCATGTCCACCTGTCATCTGTTACCCACGAGACAGACACCCTCCTTCTCTAGATGCTCCAAATCCCACCTCTCGCCTCCTACCTCTATAGAATACTTCCCCCACTTTCTCCCCACCTTGAAACACTTTGAACCCTGAACCCTACCCACTACCACCACAAGATGTGTGACTTCACCTTCTCCAGGCACTCCTAGTCTAGAAGGTGTGGGCACACTGGGTGCAGGCTGCACCTTCAGAGCCAGGAGCTTACGTGCTGCATTCCAGCCTGTCCCGTCTGAAGTTGGTGCCTGTCAGGGATGTAACTGGGACAGTGTCTGTTGTGTGTAAAATACGTGTTGGAACCCTAAAAGGTGTCTGTGTTTTTCCACTGAACTTTTAAGAAGCAAATGTGAAATTTAGTCAGCTATATAAATTTTTGGATTGTAAAAATTTTTATATCACTTAGAAATTTAGACTTTAGAGTTTTTTTCATTTCGAAGATATCTTTGCTTTCAGAAAAGATCCTCATGGATTTTTTGCTTTTCCTGTCACGGATGCAATTGCTCCTGGGTATTCAATGATAATAAAACATCCCATGGACTTTGGCACAATGAAAGACAAGATCGTAGCCAACGAATATAAATCAGTCACAGAATTTAAGGTAAATAAGTTTTACTTTCTGAAATAAATTTGCAAAATGTGTGTGTTCTTCCATGTGGGTGTGCTCATGTCCACTCACGTAATGAACACTGTATGTACCTCAAGTCATTTATTTATAACTTGTTCCAGATATACTGTTTTATTTTATGTTTATTCGTGTGTCTGTGCACCAAATGTAGGCCTGGAGCCTTTGGTGGTCAGAAGAGGGCGTGTAGTCTCCTGGAACTATAGTTACCCGTAGTTGTGACGCAGAACCCCTTGCTCTTTCTCACTTCTGCTTAAAGAACCAGACATGTTGCTTCTTATTCCTATTTGTGTCCGTGTTTCTACTAGGTAGGAAGAAGACCAGGAGGAAAGAAGGGTGCTTAGAGTATTTGTACAGTCTTTCTCATAAAATTTACGTATTAATATACAAAAGAATATTGGAGACTTTGACCAAATTTTCACTGGGAAATTCCTCATGCAAATAAAAACTCATGGATTGTTATGAAAATCTCTCTTGAGTTATTAAAAATCTGTCTTCCCAAGCTTGTCTTTTTTTGACTTCCATTCCTTTCCACTTGGCATCATTTGACAAGAATGGAGAACTTTGCTGTTACTTATATGGCAAATTTCTTGTCTTTTTCTTCTTAGGCAGATTTCAAATTAATGTGTGATAATGCGATGACCTACAATAGACCAGACACCGTGTACTACAAGTTAGCCAAGAAGATCCTGCATGCGGGCTTTAAGATGATGAGCAAAGTAAGAAACCCACTAGAGCAATGGCACTGAGCCGAAGTCTCCTAACTTTCTGTGCCTAACAGGCTCACAATGAATGACACGCTTCATCCATCCGCCACACCCAGGTGCTGACCCCTTGTGCACCTTCACACAGCTTAGAGGTGCCAGTATATGGGGCTGGTGAAAAGTTCTGGATCTAGGTCAGTCTTGCTGGACCACAGCCAGCCTGTGGTTTTACTTTGTGGCCCAGCCTCACTGACCCTCGACGGTCATTCCAAGTGTAAGCCAGGCTGTACGAGCCTCACATAGGCAGGCGGCACTTGCTGGGCTCCACCATTCTCTCACCACCATCTCTGGGCCATACCTTGAACGCTGAGCCCTCGCAACCATTCCCGCTGCAGCGTCTGGGAAGGTGGCGATTAGGCCAGGTGAGGCCGTGGCCATCCCATGCCATCCCATCGTCACGGCTCCGTGGCTAAGGGAGAGGTAAAGTCCTGCTGCTCTGTCCTTTCTGATTCTAGGAGCGGCTGTTAGCTTTGAAGCGCAGCATGTCGTTTATGCAGGACATGGATTTCTCTCAGCAGGCAGCTCTCTTGGGCAGTGAAGACCCAGCAGTTGAGGAACCTGTTCCTGAGGTTGTCCCAGTGCAAGTAGAAACCACCAAGAAATCCAAAAAGCCGAGTAGAGAAGTTATCAGGTAAGGCTTGTGGGGCTGCTGCCTACAAGCAGGACAGCAGTGCTTTGCCCGACAAGGGCAATGGGGACCTGTGGAGCGTCTCATCCTGGATGGAGGAACATGGTCTCTAAGGATTCTTGGGCTCCACAAGGCACCCCCTGGTGCAGCCCAGGGGCCTTAAACTGGATGCCTTCCTGGTCTGGAACTCAAGAGGGAAATGGCCACCCTGTTCTACCTGCCCCAAAATAAGGTGATTGTGTCTCATAGCTGCAGACTCTGGACTTTGCAGGGCAGTTCTGTGGGTAAGGTAGTCACTCACCACATACTCTCATGCCACTGTCACAGCTACTGATGAATGCGAGATGCAAGGGGGCTGAGACCACTCTCCTGTGTGCTAGCCACACGCACTGGGATCCACAGCCATGTAGCTGTCCTTACAGTGCACTTTTCCAGTTTGTCATTACTATATGATATGCATTCTGTTTGCTAATATTCATCCCTTTAGTATATGCCCTTCATACATAGTATCTGCTAATGACCTATGTTCTTAACTGTGCAGAGCACAGTTGCGGTCAGCCCCCTCTGGCCACCAGCACTCTCCATGAAACAAGTCTGTAAGCTGACTTCTGTGGCGCTGTAGGGAGATGGCCAGCTTGGTGATGAGCATCAGGAAGGTCAGGGTACTTCAGACAGAGCTCCCTGAAGCTTTTCTCCTGTCTGTCAGGCCAGAGCTAACTAAGGGATCTTGAGAGGAGGTTCCCTCTCAGCAGACAGCTCCTTCTGGTGCACCGCCCTTTGTCCTCTCTAGGGACACCTGCTGCCCTCATGTGTTCCTGGCCTCTCAGGTTGCCTCAGATTTGCAGAGTTTCTAGTTAGTGGCTGTGGTGTAGATGATCCTATCACTAAGATTCTACCGTCATCTGTGGGTTCTTTGACTTTTAGATATAATGAATACTGGTGGAGTTTTTTTCTGAATTATTAGATTTCAAAGTCTGAGTTTCTATACCGAAGTCCACCAAAGGCTCCAGATCATGCTTGACTGTCAATGCCCGTGCTATGGGACTCTGATAAGGATTTCCAGAGAGCAGCTGTGTCGGTTATGGGGGCATCCTCTTTTTGCAGTATCTCCTTAGCCATTTGTGCCAGGGCAGAGAGGAGCCTGTCTGCCTGTTTCTGTTGTCTTCAGGGGACAGACTGGCTCCACAACTGTTCCTTCTTGGGGAGCCCAGGGCTTCTTGTGACACTCCACACAGTGGGGACTTTGTCACATTTCCTTTAATACCTATGTAATTCCTGTCACTTCTTTTTCTGTTTGTAAGAAGACAAGTGTCTCTGAGACGTGGGAAGCCTAAGGGATTCTATTTGGTCTGCATTTTTTTTTTTTTAATTTCAGGTATAAGAACATGATTAGAACCTATAGGAAATGCTATGAGAAGTAGAGGGATTAATCTCGGCCCAGTACTTCTACAAGGGAATCGTTCACAGAAGCTGCTGCTAGGAAGAAACGGGCAGTGCCTATGATGACATTTGGTTTTTATGCCTTACAGCTGCATGTTTGAGCCTGAAGGGAACGCCTGCAGCCTGACAGACAGCACTGCAGAGGAGCACGTGCTAGCCCTCGTAGAGCACGCAGCTGACGAGGCTCGGGACAGAATTAACCGGTTTCTCCCAGGTGGCAAGGTAGTATCTCTGGCCCTCCCCTGAGGGTCGTGCCACTTGGCCTCAAACACTCAAGTCTTTGCAACCAGGTACCATCATCAAAACTGGGAGTACTAGGATCCGGCCAGAGTACCTCCTGGACGCCAGGGGTTCAGGCCAGAGCCAGATCAGCTCTTTGATTATCTTTGTGTTATGTCCTCAGAGGGGTCTAAGATCACTACGCTGGCAGGGCCACCCTGAACATGGAATATGACATTTCCCACTACATCCCAGTTGGGTTGGGGCCACTGTGACTGACCCTGTTGCTTAGGGGAGGCCTTGTTGGCCAAGCTCCCGTACAGGTAAAGCCCCCTTCATAGTAAGTATTCGTAGGTGTGGTGCCATCTGTGGTTCGTAGATTATTGCTGCCATGTCCTAATGCAGCTGTCTGCAGTCCTAGCTGAGGCAGAGGGATCCAACTGTTACCTGCCTCTCTGCAGAGCAAGGTGCTACCATTCTTCCTTCCTAGTACAAGATGCTCTGGTGCAGAGCACCTGTAGACGGTAACATAGCCCTGAAACAAGAGTAAGGCCACATGGTAAGATGAGCCTGTTTTGTTCCACCAGACCTGACATAATCTGAATCTTACTATCTCAATGTAAGGTCTGTATTAACAGTAATCAGAAGTCAGAGCGGTACATCTTTTTCAAAACAGGGTTTCTCTCTGGCTTTGGAGCCTGTCCTGTAACTAGCTCTTGTAGACCAGGCTGGCCTCGAACTCACAGAGATCCGCCTGCCTCTGCCTCCCAAGTCCTGGGATTAAAGGCGAGTGCCTCCACTGCCCGGCTCATATCAAGTTTCTTCATATCAAGTGTATTACATTTTAAATACTGAATGTTGAATTTTGGACCCTCCAATTATAGGAAATACCTTAAGCTAGTTAGAGGTATGGCTTAGTGGTAGAACTCTTGCCTACCCCACATAAGGCTTTATGTTCCTTCCCTAGCATTGCAAAAAGGAAAAATGAAACAAAACCCTATAAACACCTTAAAGCTAGTTTTGGCTGTTTTTTTGCTCTTGTAAATATGCCTGTTAAAGACTCAGCATTAGCTGTGTGGCTTGCGAGAAGTTCTGTGGGTAGCCTCGCCCTATACTCCTGCTGTGTCTCACCCCTGGAATTCGTCATTCCTCCAGTGGGAAACCTTAGTTAGAAATGGATATTGTCTTAGAGTTTCTGTTGCTGCATTGAAACACCACAACATAAAGCAGGTTGGGGAAGAAAGGGCTTATTTGGCTTATACTTCCACATTAGTGTTCATTATTGAAGGAAGTCAAAAGCCTTTTTTCTTATAGAACCCAGAACTTCCAGCCCAGGGATGGTACCACCCACAATGGGCTGGGCCTTCCCACATTGATTACCAGTTAAGAAAATGCCTTATAGCTGTATCTTTTGGAAGGGAGGTCTGGGAGAGTGGGGTGTTGAAGACTGGGTTTCTTTGTGTAGCCTTAACTGTCATGGAACTAGCTCTGTAGACTGGGCTAACCTCAAACTCACAGAGATCTGCCTGTCTCTGCCTCATGAGTACTGGGATTAAAAGTATGTGCCACTACTTCCTGCTTACAGCTGGATCTTATGGAGGTATTTTCTTAATTGAGGTTCCTCCTTTCAGATAACTCTAGCTTGTGTCAAGTTGACATAAAACTAACCAGGACAGATATCCATGTTGTAGGTAAAACACTATCAGGTAGAGCCAGGAAATGTACCTGTGTGGATACACACCATGTGTATATGTAGCTAAGAGTAGCTATGTTGGTAACTGTGTTTGCATGTACTGAAATCTTTGTTGTCTGGTGAAACTTCCTGTTCCCTCCAATACCATGGCCACTCTTCCTTTTTAGTTCGTAGTACTGCACTGAGAAGCCTGGCCCTAGTACCCTGGTATATTGTTGGTGTCCCCTATCCAGTATCTGCCTCCTCTCCTGCTTCTGCCCTACTTATGTTGCTCTCTGACATTCTCCCGGGGATATTTACGATCACAAGAACTTACTCTTCGTGCATCTGGCCAGTCTCCTGCACATTTCATCTGAACATGTATACTTTCCACACCCTGACATCCTGTCCCTGTATGAGACTGCGGGTGACGATAGGACATAGCCAAGGCCTTTTGTGGAAGATTTTTAATGGAGTAATGTTCTCTGTCTACCTTAGAGATAGAGGTATGGACCATGGACCTCATGGCATGATGCTTTTTACTTAGCTGGCATTCTCTCTCTTATTTTGTTCAGGCTTAATGGATGGTTTTTAATATTTGCTTCTGGGACAAGACTTTTATTTCAGAAACTCTTTGGGATGGGTCATGTGTCTAAGCAGTGCTTTGACCATATATAGGTGTCCTCAGTCACAATCAGGTTTATTTAATCATGAGCAGATACCATCAGTCATAAGCATGCCAGTCTTCGATCCCTGGACATGTGAGAGGGAGGCTCTGGTTCTTTCTCTTGGAGAAACTGGTAGAGAAGTGACTGGCACGTCATGTGTCTCTAGCAGATAGCTCAAGGTTTTCCCTGGTGGATGACACTTGGGTGCTGCTTCCTTGCAGATGGGGTACCTGAAGAAGCTTGGAGATGGAAGTCTGCTCTACAGTGTGGTGAATGCAACTGAGCCTGACGCTGATGGTGGGTGCTTTGTCCTCTAAACTCTGCGCATGCTCTGAGATGCAGCACATGTATAACACATTCATATGTCACCACGACTGTTAATGAGATTGCAGGAGAGTTGTCTGCCTTCCCTCTTGTACATAGTTTTGGTAGCATGTGTGTGCACAGTGGAGCCTATGTGTGTCATGAAAGGGGCCAGTATGTCATTAGACCTCCATTAGGTTACTCAGGGTGGTGATAGATTCTTAAGGACTGAATTTCATTGATGATGTAGGAAGGTTTTGTTTCTTGAGTTCCGTCAGAACTGCTTCCTCGTGAGCCAAGTGCAGACGTATGCACTTGAAGCTCAAAAGTATTCTGGAAGGAAGGCTGGATGATTGGGTCAGGGTAGGTCTTAGTGGAAACAAGAATGCCACCGGGCACAGCAGCCTGCAGGGGTATTTCACTCATTGGAACATCTTGAGAAGGTAGTAGCTGTGCCTCTGACTGAATCCCTGGGGTTGCAGGATGCCCACAGACACTCTTGGAGAGGGTGAGACACAGTGGGTGTTGGCTCATACTTACTGCTTTGCCTGAGTCTCTGTTGCACAGGTGGACATTTCCCTCAGCTCTTTGGCCTCTTGACAGTCTTCCTCCCAGCCCACAATCAACAGGTTGTTTCGTTTTCTCTAGTGTACAGGATAGGCACTCTGATTTTAACTGTGAGTGGAAACAAATTGCTATGGTCTTCAGGAGAAAGTAGATATGGTAGCCCATATTTAGGCTAGAAAGTCAGTGTGGAAACTGAGGTTCCTGTCAGGAATAGAGAATTGATTTGCATGTGAAAACCAGTGAGCAGATGTGTAACCAGAAGAGCATGTAGAGGATGGCCGGTAGGTAAGTGCTGGATAGCATGTAGGAGTGGACGAAAGCATGGCTGGCAGGATGGTCTGCAGACATGACAAGGACAAGCATGCACCCATTCCTCCTTCCCCAGTACTGGGATTATAAGTGTGCAACATTGTGTACTTTTTTTTAAGTACAGATGGGGAATTGAACTCAGAACTTCATGCTTACAGGGCAGACACTTTGCCAATGGAACCATCTGTTTAGGTCCAGACATTAATATTTTTTTCATGGTGTTGACTTTAGGGCAATTATAAAATCAAATTGAAATGGTGTTAGTTTTTAAAATTATATTGAAAAATTATATTAAAAAATCATTTTTAAATGGACATTGTAAAGTCTTCATATCCCTACCACTCCCTGTCCAAGGTGCTATAGAGAACATGCTCATCGCTGCTGAGGCAAGCTGACTTGATTATTCCTCCTCTCCTGTGTCTTCTGCAGAGGAGGAGACACACCCTGTGGACCTGAGTTCACTGTCTAGCAAGTTGCTCCCAGGTTTCACGACACTGGGTTTCAAAGATGAAAGAAGAAGTAAAGGTAAGTGCAGTGGCTGGCGGGTGAGAGCTCTCAGGAGCTGAAGGCCGGCTTGGCTGTCAATGGGATGCTGAAGTTGCCAGTTCCTCTTCCATGATTTTCTTCATGTGACTGGGTTTAGATTTTTAAGACAAATGAAGTTTAGACCCAATTAAGTAGATGACTAAAGTCATAGTTGATGGAGAATTCCTGCTTTGCATTCTGCTCTCAACTAGTAGGGGTGAGTTCAGACTGAGCTCCTAAGCTTCCTCACACAGGCTGCCATCCATTCTCTCCCTCCACAGGAGCCTCGACTCAGGCTCCTGCTGGTCCTTACATCAGGCTTACATTTGGAGGATGATGGAGCTGCCTGGCAGCCAAGAGACCTAGATGGACAAGGTGGTTGTGGGTGGCAACATGGATGAGGGAGGGGCAGGTATATTTGTGTTTGTGTGTTCTGTATTTATAATAAATCTACTAGTATGTTTGGGAATGTTTGTGGTTGTATATATGTGGTAGTATGTGTGCCAGACTTGCTTTGGTGTGTGCTTTAAGACTGGAGAGCATCCAGGCTGATAGTTCTCTGTGGGATCACTTCCTTTCCCTTGAAGGCACAGGAGCCATTCCTGGTCTGAGCCTAGATGTGTTTTGATGACGTCTCTTCTGCCTTTACTCAAGTGTAGAGATGTTTAAAACCATGGGACGCACTTCAGCATGTTCCCCTTAGACTTGGCATTTCATTGTATTTCCTGTCTCTATATTTATTACAGACATTGTTTCTTGAGTGATGGTGTAGGCATGGGTGGCATTGCCCTTCTCTATGTCATTGCTTTTGTTCTCCTTGTTGCTTCCTGCCGGCCCTCACCTTTGCTGTGGCCAAGGTCACCTCTGCACCATAAGCTTTTACCATTCTTCCTTATCCCCTCAATCCTGCACACCATCTGCTTTTCTTGGTGTTCACTCTTGGCGCAGGGAAGCTTGGTACAGCCTCAGTAGAGGACTTTTTCTGGAATGGCATTTTCTACATCTCTGGATATTAGAGACCAGCCTGCATTTGAACCTTCTGTGATGTGTGGTCTACCCACACCTGCCTCCATTTCAACCCATCACTTGTTGTTGAAATAAGAGCGGCGGGGCTGCGTCCCCGGCACCCGGCCGCCCGCATGGCTAGCTTATGCCCGAAATAATTACACGGAAACTGTATTCTTTCAAACACTGCCTGGCCCGGCTAGGTCCAGTTTCTTATTGGCTCTTACATATTGTTCTAACCCATTTCTAATATTCTGTGTAGCCCATGAGTTGGCTTACCAGAGAGGATCTTAACCTGCGTCTGTCTGGAGTGGGAGCATCATGGCGACTC